AAGAATAAGGAAGTAGTTTAATCAATTTTTTTTGCCTTTTTTTCCCTAATTTATCTCTAATATCTCATTTATTCCTCCTCTAATATCAATGTATGCCTTAAATTATGTTTCAATCTTCAATAATACTTTAAATGCTTTGTTAGGATGAATAGAATAAAAATGGCCGCAAAAAATGAAATTTATGCTATGACTTGTAGAGAAAAAATTCATTTTTCAGTCTTTGCTTTAGGGAAGTTACGTGGAAAGTTTTAATTTGTGCTCATTTAAATGTTTTGTTGGGATGAATAAAATAAAGATGGCCGCAAAAAAATGAAGTTTATGCTATGACTTGTAGAGAAAAATTCATTTTTCAGTCTTTTATTTAGGAAAGTTATGTGGAAAGTTTTAATTTGTGTTCATTTAACCTTCCAACTGTCTTTGGTTATTAAAAACGTAGTTTAAATATTGCGCAATTTTTCAAATATTCGAGCGAAATCCATAAAGATTCCTTTCATTGTGGTCAATCCAAAAATTTTGTATTCAGTTTCTATTCAAACTCTATTTTAATCGGCAATCAAATCATCTATATGAGCACTTTTTTTTTTTAACAAAAATTGATATAAAAAAACTAATTCTCCAAAATTTCTTCACAATAAATGCTCATCTATACCTTTGTCTGTCATTATCTTGAGAATCTCTCACACTAAAAACTCTACAAAAGACTAAAATAAAGGTAAGATAGAGTTTTCACATTAGCATGGTTTCCAAAATTATCAAATTAGGTAAAATTTATTATATAAAAACTTTACAAAAGACTAAAATAAAGGTAAGAATATCTAAAATATGAAAAATATGAACTTTTCTAACGTAAAAAGAACGGTGAGAGTAATTAAAACTCATGTTATATAATTGACTTACAATTTTTACAAACTCTTACGATATCTTTGACTATAGGATTATTGAGAACTGTAAGCTTAATTACAACTATAATGCACTTGAAAAAATTGTGGTCAATAAGTCAATATGTTGGCAGAATTCCCTTAATTACTTATTTGATAAGTTTTCCAGTGAATCAAGTAAAATAAGCAAATTGTCAACTAATTAATGAAGGGTAACCAAGTGATTAAGCAAAAGATTAAACAATAATCACAACATATTTATAATAATAGTGTGTGTATATATATATATAGCTAGATACATTGTATTAAGAAGAGAACAATGTATTTATATTTATATTTATTTTCTTAATGAAGCATTCTTGTCGTAAGCTGGCTATTTATTTTATTAATTAGATATAAAATAATTAGCAGCTTTTGTCCATTTCCTAGTTAAAAGTGAACCCATCAATTAAATATTTTAAAAAAAGGAAATAGTATTAATTTTATTTAAGTATTTTTTTTTAATTTAGTGAAGTTTTTTAATTTGTATCCAATTGTTGTATATTAGATTCATACAACTTCAACCCCAACAGCTGGATTAAGGAATAATGACATAATTAATGGAGAATACAACATCATTAAAGTTAATCTAATGACTAAGATTGAAGTTGTATAATATTTGCACGTTACATGTAGTTAGGTTATTATTTTTCAAAAGAATAATTTAAATATGAGATTTATTTATAGATATTTTTATTTATGAAGAGTGCCGAAACCGCTTTGTCGGGTATAACGAAAAAAAAAATTCCTTGTTTTTGTGAAGATTAATATATATATTTGCATCCACGTTCATTGTCCTTGTCAGAACGAGGTTTTAGCAGGCTGGTTTTCTGCTTTAGATAGATTTTCTTTTCTTTACTTTCTTTTTCGTTTTTTTTTTTTTTTTTTTTTTTTTTTTTTTTTTTTTTTTTTTGTCATACAAACTTCAAAACCCCAACAGCTGGATTAAGGAATAATGACATATTAATGGAGAATACAAACATCATTAAAGTTAATCTAAATGACTAAGATTGAAAGTTGTAATATATTTGCACGTTACATGTATTAGGTTTATTAATTCTTTCAAAAAAGAATAATTTTAAAAAATATGAGATTTATTTATAAGATATTTTTATTTATGAAGATGGGCCGAAAACCGCCTTTGATCGGGTATCAACGAAAAAAAAAATTCCTTGTATTTTGTGAAGATTAATATATATATTTGCATCCACGGTTCATTGTCCTTGTCAGAACGAGGGTTTTTAGCAGGCTGGTTTTCCTGCTTTAGAAAGATAGATTTTCTTTTCTTTTTTTTTTTTTTTTTTTTTTTTTTTTTTTTTTTTTTTTTTTTTTTTTTTTTTTTTTTAAGTATAGTGCACGTAGAAACATTATTAAAAACAATGGTTTTGTTTTGCGCTTTTGTGATTGAATAGACTTATGATATAAGGATATAAGAATTGAAAATGCTTTTGTTAAAAGTGCTTTCAATGAATATTTAATCCATTTATAAGAATTGAAAGAGTGTTGAAACATTCATCTCAATACATTTTTTAATATAAGACTATTTTTGTTTTACAGTTCATTTACTATTGACTTTACAAAGGTCGTCAGCTAAACTCAAGGGTGTTTTACCACTTAAGCTACTTCTAATTTATTATTATATTTAAAAAATTAAGTAGTTAGATTTGATGGAAATTACTATTTCATCTTTGTTATCTAAAAAATTTTGTGAAATCCATGAGGTTTGATTCCATTAAACTACTTTGGCGGATAGTTGCTGCTGATAGCGGATGAACAATGAGTATTTGATAAAAGTGTAATCAGTCGTTGTTGTTCATATGAAATGATCAATAAATGTATGTTTTGAATAAATTAAAATTTACATATAAAAATATTTCTAATCTATTTCTAATGAATTAAAGAATAAGAAAAATAAAAATTAGAAATTAATTAAACTACTATCTTAATCAATAAAATCTATGCATATAGATAAAATTATGTATCTTAATATTAATAACTATATTAATAAAACCTATCTATTTATCTAACAAAAATACAATACAACATAGTTAATATATGTCAATCAATAAAATAATAAAAAGAGTAGAAAAAAATTACTTGATGATAAGTTACGCTATGATCTCCTTTTATTCTCAATGGGCAAAGAAAATATAGCAATGTTAGGAGAAAAAAAAAAGGTATGAGAGATATATTATGTTATTAGCGATATAATATTTTAGTCTATTTATACAAAATACTAATAGCAGGTCACAGAAAGCTCATACATCCAGTCGATAAAACCAGCAGCGTATTGAGAGTTTTATCAGTTACCAGCTGCTGAACACTTTTAATCCAATATTGGACTCCAATAAGTTACCCATTGTATGGAAAAGCCGAATCAAATATTCTCTTACTCACTCCTTATATCGATTTTGCTATTAAGTGAGAGATTGAGTAGTAATCCAGGAGTAAATGTGAGGGACTAAATAACAACCATGAATGAAACAATATCAAATATCATAGTGGACAAAAATAACACTTTTTAGCTGAAGTACGAAGGAATTTAACCGAGTCAAACCTTACGGATTTTACCAATTTCTTCAAACAATAGGGATAGGATAGCATTTCAATTAAATCTGGAGGATTTCATAATAATTTACCGTAAAACAGAAGAAGAATAATAGATGATAAGTCAACTTCAACTATAATATACATATGTTGATTTCAGATTTCAGTTTTCTCGAGCAGTCCAATAAGGCAATCTAGTAACCCTAGGAAGATATTATAATATAAGATGATGCTTCCATCTTTTCTTATCTCTTTATTTCAATTTAAAACTTTTATTATAAAAATATTTAATTAATTAATATTTTATTATCCATTAATTTTATGCTCTAGATTTTTTTTTTTATATACGTTACTTATGTTCCCTGAATGTTTCACATAAGACAAGGAGCAATAACATTTTCATGTGTTTTCTTTTGGAAGGTAGCATTTTCATGTTACACAAAAGCCAACTCAACTTGGAAGCAAACATGGAATTTTTTTTTTAAATTTTCTTTTTTTTAGTGGAAAACTTTTTTATATATGTTTTTCCTCTTTATAAACGGATGAGGTGTCAACATTTAGATCACTAAATTTAATTAGCTAATTTTGATGAAATTTTTATATTAATTGTTGCATTTTGCTTTTCGATCCTGTTGGTAAATTTATAACAAAACGCAAAATTGGAAATATTTTAAACGATTTGCTAATTAATGAATTCTATGTATCAAATTTAGGAAATACTTGACTCGCTTTATACGATACATTCACGAAGAAAAAAAAATATTAAAATTATGTTTAGCAATAACTTTTGAACCAATTTTTAATATTTTGATCAAATTAAATTATATTTCTATTAAGTATAGCTTTCAGCAACATAGTTTTTATAGAGAGAGCTGTCTATGAAACGTTCAACATTATAATGTTTAACGTTTAACTTTTAATTAATTAATTTTTTGACAATCAAAAAAATTTTTTTTTATCCCCCGAAATTCAGTTAATTAACCAACTAATTATAATATTTATTTATTTCCATCACTAACCAATGAAAAATGACGTAGGACAGAATTGATGGATTGCAAGTACACATAAAATTCACCATATGATAAATGTCACAGTCCTCCAAAAATCCAAAGATGGAAACTTGCCCAACTTAAAACATAAAACCGCGTAAAGAAAAACAACCGTTTACATTCCCATATTTGCATTACTGTATGTCATACATATAAGGAAAATCTAGTTGGATATTTGATTTTAATCATTGACCACTCATAAACTATTTTTTAAAAATTTATATTTCAAAAAATAGTAAGAGAGGTATTTTCCATTTTCCATATATTATTTTTCAGAAATAGACAAGGGTCCTTAAAGAGGGTTTTTTGGTTTAAAAAGAATTTAATTTTACATTGAAAGAGAAAGGGATGCAATTTATTTTCACAAGTTTTTATTCTAATTGGAAAGTTTTTTATTTTTGGAAATTCCTTGATTTTTTCCTTGATTTGGATTAGTTTCTATACAACTTTTTGAGAAAGCCATCACTCTATTTGTCTTTTTGTGTGCCTTCTTCCTCTATAAATGACTCACTGGTCACTTTTCTTTAACTCCCCTATTCTCTTGATTTTTCTTCTCCTCTTTTCTTGCTTGAGAGGGAAAAAAGATAAACATAAAATGGAAGAGTTGGGTTCTCTATGGAGCTATGAGGTGGGTTTTTCTCTACTCGTTTTTCTACCATCTGGGTCTTGCTTATTTTGGCATTTAAAGTTTGTTTCTTGACTTCATTGTATTTTCTTTAGCCATTTGGATTTGTTTGTTAATAAATTTTGTTACTTTATATGAATTAAACTGCTTTTTAATGAATCTGCCCCGCTAATAATTTTCATTTCTGGGAGTTCTGTTTGTTTGATGGTATAATATCTTCTCATAAATGGTAATTGAGTTTAGTTCAAGTTAATTCTTCTGTTCTTAGGAGAACATAATTGGATTGAATGTTCAGCTTTTAATGGCATTTGCTTTCAGTCCTCTAAGAGAAAAATTTTCTATTTTCTTTTGTGCATATTCTGTAGACATTAAAGAGTTTTGGTTATTCTTTTTCTTCTTCTTCTTCTTCTGTTTTCCTCCCAGTGAGTGTCTTTATTTTGTTTGGTGAAAAAATGGCCTTATTATGAATTTTTCTTTTTTGCAATTTTGTTTTTTGGTTCTGGAAAATGTAAACTTCTTTTTGTCCTGCTAGGAATATAACATGCTTAAGTTGAAACTTGATGAGTGCAAGATTTTGTCAGTATTGCCATGGGGACCAAACTATGTCAATTATAGTTTTAAAAGTTAGGTTTAATTTGGTCATACTTCCATTCTCCCTCTTTTGTTCTTTTTTTTCCCCTTCATAAGTTTTTCCAAAAAATTAAAAAAAAAAATCACTATTTGGCTTGAGTTAGTAATTAATGTTTTTTCAAATTTTTTTGACAGAGTGTTGATGAATTGAGGCAGAAGCTATTATGCACAACAATTGAGCTAGAGGCATTCAAAGGAGAAGCAAATGAAGAAATTAGAAAACACAAGGAAGATAAGAAACATTTAATTGATCTTCTGAAAATGGCATATAAAGAAAGAGATGAAGCAAAAGACCAGTTACAGAAGCTTATTAACAAGCTACTGCCTTCAAATTCTACTGATATAAATCAAATTATACTCCAACCGCAACCTGGGAGCCCTCTTGTTATACCCATGAAGGCAAATTCAAGCATAACAGAATCCAATAGTTTATCTGATACATATAATGCAGTTACTTCACCAGATCTTTCTAGTATGAACATGGCAGATTCAGGTCATATTGACTTTGTTAATAAGGCATATGTTCAAGAATATAATACTTTTGTCTCACCTATAGTTCCGAAAATTGATCCTGCTGATGCTGCTATTGATAGTCTTGTTAATGGAAAAAATTTGCCTCAAAAAGGGAAACTTTTACAAGCTGTGACTGAGGCAGGTCCTCTTCTGCAGAACTTAATTGTTGCAGGCCCACTTCCGCGGTGGCGAAATCCTCCTCCATTGCAGACTTTTAGGATTCCTCCAGTTTCTATCAAAGGATGTGAGAAAGCTGTTGCAAACGCAAATTCTGCTGCACAAAAACCATTGAATTCAATTTCTTATCCTGATATGTGTCGCGGGTCGTCTCAAATGTGTTCTGCTTCTGTGTTAAATTTTGCTACTGGTGGAGCATCTTCATCTGGTTTAGACAGTGGTTATGGTTGGCCCTTAAATTCTGCCAAAAGACAAAGATTTCATTGAGAATTTGAGACTATGTTCCTTATATATATATAAATATTTTTTGTAAAAAATTTAATCTCACTGCTGGATGGTGTAAAATAGATCTCTGTTTTGGGATGAAAATGTTACATTTCTTGCTTCTTCTTGATTAATCAGATTTAGTTTTCTTTTTTCAATTTCTATGATAATCAAGAATATGAAGAAAATAAAAATTTTGCGGACCACAGACATATCAATATCGGTTTGCACCGAATGTTGACTTGATAAAATAAGACAGCATAGTTTTTTTTTCCATTTAGAATAATTTTTTACATTGATCGACTTAATTACGCAATTGAAGACTCAACAGGAAACAATTTATATTTTGAGACGGAGAGACCAGTAATTTACTGCCAAGGAATCTATACTTTTTTTCTATGGCTTGCAATTAGAATAGCAGCATATACTTTCTTGGAATGGAAGTAAAGTCCAATTCATGCTCTGTCAATTTTATTCTCTCAAAGTTATCAACAAATAATATTTCTATTTGTTTCTACAATGATTTAATCGTTGCATAATATCTTTATTCACAACATAATTAATCTTGGATGTTATAATTATTATTATTATTATTATATCAATGAATTTTCATTTTACATTCAAAGATTGATCATAGCATGCTGCCACTAACTTCAAGTCCACCGCCAGTTTCAGAATTTCATCCAGAAGACTTTCCTTCGCAACAATGGAATCCATATGTGATCGGTCCGCTTATTGCTATGTGCATTGTTGTTGTTATATTCAGTTACTACAAAATAATAAAACGACTCTGTTGTGCGCTAAATACACTTACTTTCTCCAGAAACCATGTCCAAACGAGGCATTTAAGTGTCGAAGATCCTTCGTTGCAGTATCAGAGCCACGGACTTGAATCCATAGTTATGGATTCTCTCCCTATTTCACAGTTCAAGAAGGAGAAGGAGCAGGAAGAAACGCGACAAAGCAACAGTGAATGTGCGGTTTGCTTGGGGGAATTCGAAGAAGGAGAATGGCTTAAACATCTGCCAAATTGTGCTCATGTGTTTCATGTCGCGTGTATCGATACTTGGTTTCAGACTCATTCGAGTTGCCCTCTTTGTAGGTCTCTTGTTTATGAAAATTCTATTTCTATCAACACGTTGATAGAGAGTCTACAGAGGGAAGATTTTTTCCATCAAAGAGCAGAATATTACCAGATCTTACGCTCTCAGATCTTTCGCAATTCTGCAACTAGACCTTAAGAATTAGGTTTTGGATTTGTTTCATCCCGTTATAGAGAGAACCTGTAAATTTGAGAGCTTTGAGAATTGCCTGAAGAATGAACTCATGAAGCTGGGTTTCCAGCAATTAGGGTACAACAAGATGGAGCAAACAGAGATAACTTGAAGTCGGGCTTGAAGCAATTAGGGCAAAAGAAGATGGAGCAAACAGATAATTTCTTGGATTTGTAAATGTAAACGTTGCTGTAAATTTCAATGAGTGGGAAAAAAGTACTTGAATTGCGTTCAGCATAAAAATAGTGCGCAAGAACCACAAAACGTGTAATACCAAAGCATTGCTTAAATGCATTGAATAAACTTCTGACGTTTAGGATAAATTTTAATCAATATAATATAGACTTACAACAAGACGGATTATTGGGGAACAGGGACGAGGTGGCCTACAGTGTAAGTGCATCTAAGCCTTTGAACAGAACTTTAATCAAGGGATTTGCCTAATTAAACATCATTTGGTAGCTTGACACAGCATAATTCAGAACAAGTAAATTGAAACTTCAAACCTAATTCATATGTTTAAAAAGATGAAGCATAACCAAACAGCAGTAACACAGGTTTACAAGTTTTAACGTAATTTAAGAAATATTCCTGCTTGATGTCACAACAATAATAACTTACTCTTCAACAAAACAAAATGAAGAAAATTAGAAAAAAGCCAGGAACTAATTTAGATGATGCCAATTTTGTTTGCCACATCCAATGCATCGTAGTCTGGTGTCAACCTTACATATGCTTTCTTTGTTCCATCAGGCCTGGAGCACAAAATAAATAAATAAATAAAATTTTCAAAAAGATTTTGCAAGAAACTAGTAAACACGTTACATAGACAATATAACAAGAGAAAACCATATGTTCATTGGTTCTCCATGGTAATTCAACTTATGAGCAAACAAGCAGCATATATTGATTTCGAAAACATCCATTTCAAACTTCAATATCTTAAACATAGACAATCTTGGACTGCAATTTGCACAAGAAAAAAGATACATCATTAGGTAAATTGAGATACTAGTGTCGTAACGAGAGAACTAATTATCAGAAGAATGGCATGTTCTGCATGCAAAAATATAGAGTTGTGACAGCTCATCATTTGATATGTACTTGTGTTGGCTTGGCTGTGGTAATTGTCAAGTCCAAATACAAATAATGCTAAAATTTGATTTTTATCATCCCCATTTTCCCGTTCTATTCCTATGCTTACCAAAACATTGAAGGAAAAGCAGAACAAGCAATTATTGGCTAATGCCATGAGCATGAGATTCTCCGGATTTCAGAACATTTAGAGGTTCTATTTAATTATTTTTTTAGGCTACAAGAACTCAACAATTATGCCAGCTTTTGCAAATTCAAGTTTCAAATTTTGGTCAACCATTAAAAGAACAACAGGGATCGATAACCAACCTTATCAAGGTATTCACTTTCTTGGCTTGAATATCATACATCTTCTTGACTGCATCCTTGATTTTTTTCTTGTCAGCACGAAGATCAACAATGAAAACTAAGGTATTGTTATCTTCAATCTTCTTCATAGCTGACTCAGTAGTAAGAGGATATTTCAAAATCTGATAATGATCAAGCTTGTTCCTTGGTGGAGCACTAATGCGGGGGTATTTGGGATTCCTCTCCTTCTTTAGAGTCTTTGGGCGATGGAATGTGACCTTGGTTCTGATCTTCTTAGCTTTCTTCTTAAAGGTTGGTCCAGACTTCACAGCTTTTGCAGCCTTGACAGCTTGTGCCTTTGCATCAGGCTTTTTTGAACTATCTGCTTCACATTCAGAATACATGCCAAAAAATCAAGGAAAAGAAATACCTATAAACATGCATATAAGACATCATAGCTTAACAGTATAACAGTCCCTGAACTAAATTAAAAGATGGATTAAAAATAACCAAGTTGAAAGCCATCTTTAACAATAATTTTTAAGCTCAACTTAAAGCATACAGAAGTCTTAGCAAGACTAATCATCAAATTTCCATCTCAGTTTATACAATTAAAGACTAATAAAGCAGCTTAAAACACACTACTCATAACATATGTCACTGAAAAGAAATGTTGATATATGCTATACATTGATGCTGCCAAATTTTTTTTGCAAGATTATGACTCAAACATAGACTTAATTAAAGTACTGATTGAAACAATGTCATTACAAAGAATCCCATCTATCAAATATCTCCTTAAACCATTAAACGATAATATATATATAATAATTAATAAATAGCAAGAGAAAACAGTAGTACAAAATTACCTAACAATCCTTCGTTTCCTCTAATCCTAACCTCTACATCCACCAAAAATACAAATTATCTGCTTATGATAACTAAAAGGCCAAATGAACTTCCATAAACAAATTGCACATTACTTGTCTTTGCATTTCAAAGACTAAAACATGAAACAGAGTACTAAACAAGAATGAAACAATCAATAACACATCACAAGTTCAAGCTTCCTATCACGAGTCTAAATATAAAAAAGCATACCTTTTGGTGCCATTGCTGCTAATCCAGAAAAAGTTTGCTAATCACTCGAAACCCTAAAAACACAAACAGAAAAATGTTAATAGTCACCTTGTTTATAGTTAAATGAAAGCATATTCATATGGAAGAAAGAGTGACACCTGTTAGCGAACAGCAGCCGGGCTGTACCTAGGGTTTGTGGGCGGTAGGGGAAGAAGGGTTTTATAAAGAGTATACTAATGGAATTACCATAATATCCATTTTTTGTGTAATATTTACCATAGCGAGTTGGGTTTTATAGATTGGGCCAAGAGACGCCGGCTTGGGATCGTGCTATTGGGCTGAAATGCTTAGTCACTTTGTTATATAAAAATCCTGAAGCCGATCTCTCTCTCAATTCTTAATTTTTTTTTTCCAAAATTCTAAAAGTAAACTGAAAATAATAATAATTAATTAAAATTAAAATTTTGGTTAGTGGACAAATAAATTTATTCTTCACCAAAAATTGATGGAATTTTTTTTTATTACTGCTTAAAATAAAATATTTAGTAAAGGAATAATAAATGTATTGTTGTGGGTTATTGGATGTGTTCAATTATTTAATTTCAACTTACTAAATAATTTATTGGGTATTTCATTTGAAAGCTATATTACCATTTTTTTTTTTTTTGACATTTGAATTACGGATTATATTAATAAGAGAAGAAACGAGCAATACAAGTAGGAGCACTATTCCAAGTTTGAAAACAAGCTCCACTAAGGATTGATTTAGCCAATACATGAGCTATATCATTTGCTTGTCTTCTAATCCATGCCAATAACATTAGGCAATTGGACTAAGAGTAGTTTAGATTCAGAGATGACAAAACCAAACTCGGACCAGTCGTGGACAGAACGCCTCATAGCATAACAGACTTGAAGGCAATCGATCTCAACCTGAATCGTCAGATTAGGGTGTCCCGACAGCACCCAGGTTAATACCTTTCTTAACTCCTGAGCTTCTGCTACTGCTGGAGAAGAGCAACCATGCAATGAAGATGTTGTTGCTGATACAAATCCGCCATGGCAGTTTGAGAGTACAGCACTGACAGCTCCATGGCCGGCAGATGAGCTATATTACCCTTTTGATTCACGCTTTGGCCGAGATGGATTCATGCTCTGGCCGAGAGTGATAGTTAGGTACAACCCTTCCAGCAACTCTAAGTTTCAGATATTTGAACTTCTAGATATAGTTATTTAATATTTAGAGATGCAGTTCACGTTAAAAAAAGTTTCATATTGTTTATTGACTACATTTGAAACTTTTAAAAAAGTGGAGTGGAGACGTAAGTTTTGAATTACTTTATTGTTTAATTTTATGTCACAAACTATGATAATTAACCAAGAAAATCACATGAAAACAATATAATAATTTGTTGCAAATCTTCAGTTCTATTGTTCATATACAATGAATTTGTTCATTCCAAGCTATAATAATTAGAATGACTGAAAAAAAAAATTTCATATAAATAAACCAAAACTTCAAAACCCTATGTGATGCAAAGAGAGCTGCCTTTTCAATCCAATATGAGATTTCATACTTTGTTATATAATTTTGAATCGTCTCTCATTCTTCTTCTTCAGGTGAGTCTGTGTTATTTACATTTGGTTTGGTGAATCCAGCCAAAGGTCCTTGTATATCAGAACCATAAATATGACCCATCTTGGTGCGCTTTGTTTCTAAGTATATTTTGTTTTCCTCTGTAATGGGTGTCAAAACTGGAACTCTTCCAATAACTGCTAAACCATATCCTTTCAATCCAGTGAATTTTGCAGGATTGTTAGTCATTAATCGCATTGTTTGAACCCCTATGTCTCTTAGAATCTGCAGACTCCAAATATAAACAAAGCAAAGATTATGAAGTTTCGTATGTTATATTTTACTTTTCATGTTTAATATCCACGAAAATTAATCCATTTCACTCTTATTCAACTAATTAAGAATCATGCCTTTGCTGCACATTGCGGGCTGCAATTCTTTCTGCTAAATTAAAGAGCTGTGCAAGTAAGAAATTATATAAGTTCGGCATTTTAAAACCGACCTGAGCACCGATGCCATACTCACGAGCATCAACAGCTAAACCAAGTTCAATATTAGCCTGAACAGTGTCATGACCTTGATCCTGCAAATTGTAGGCTCGAAGTTTATGACCAAGGCCAATCCCTCTTCCTTCATGACCTCTAAGGTAGACCACAACACCTCTACCAGCTTTTTCTATTAACTGCATTGCCAAATCCAACTGATTTCCACAATCACATCTAGCTGATCCAAATATATCTCCAGTTAAACACTCTGAATGAACTCTTACTAAAACATCTTGTCCTTGTCCAATATTACCCTGTAAGTAAATTTGTCTACTTTAAAGTGGAAAAGAGGAACAGAAACCAAAGCCGTAAGCGCATTTTTTATACCTTCACGATAGCTATATGTTCTGTCCCATCCAACTTTGATCTATAGCAATAAGCTTGAAATAGACCCCATTTTGTTGGCAGGCGAGAAATAGCAGTTCTCTCAACCAAATTTTCTCTCTTTCGTCGGTACCTATAAAGTAACACTTCATATTTCAATACATTTCTCAGCAATTTATGACAGATGTAGGAGTAATTCTGTACTTATAATGTCTTAGTCTTGGAGATGATTCTAAGACTACTGAGCTAAAACAAACAAGTTTTTCCTAAGGCACTTATCAGAATCATTTCCAAGAAATTTAAAACATGTCAGCAAAAATGGTTAGGCATCTTTTATTACCTTATTAAATCAGTTATTGAGACAACTGATATGTTATGCTCCAATGCCAACTTTCTTAAACTAGGTAAAGAAGCCATGGAACCATCATGCGAATCAACAATAGCTGAAAGAACAGAAATTGGCTGCAAACCAGCCAACATTACCAAATCTACAGAAGCCTCAGTATGACCAGCTCTCCTCAAAACCCCACCATTTCTATACTTAAGTGGAAACACATGGCCTGGCCTTCTAAAATCTTCTGGCTTAGATTCAGGAGATGAAAGAGCAAGAACAGTCTTTGCTCTATCTGCTGCTGATACTCCTGTGGAAGTTCCCATTTTCACATCCTGATAAAGCAAGAAAAAAAATTGGCTTAATAATATTGGAGTCGATTAAAAAAGGAAGACTTTAAAAAGATGAAGATTATTCTACAAGAACAAGATCCTACCACTGTGATAGTGAAAGTGGGAGCAGAAGAGTCTTCATCTTCAGTTTCTGGAGACATTAGAGGAAGCTTTAGCCTTTCAAGATCATCCTCTTTCATGCCTACAGGAACAATCCCTGACCCATGCTTAATCATAAAGGCTATATGTTTGGGACTTGTAAGAGAAGCTGCCATCACAAAGTTTCCTTCAACATTCCCATTTTCATCATCTACAAGGATCACAAACTGAAAAAGGTTTACCCAATAATCGTCATTAACAAAATTTCAATAAGTGTAGGTTTGTTTTGCTCTGGAATTAGGAATAGAATTCCAAATTTTTTGCTTCACAAACAATCTACAATTTTTTAAAATTTTCATATTAGAATAACTGAATATATATTAAATGATACTTGCTTTAAAATACAAGTAGTCGAGTAATAGAAGCGAGCCCAAGTAAAACTAGTCATGAGGATTTCAAAATTTCTCTAATGCGAAAATCCACCTTCCATATACTAGAAAGGATACAAAATGCTTAAAATAGAGATTCATAATTCCATATTAAAATGAACCAAAACATGCCTAAACTAATAGGAAACTATTGTCAAAGAGATTAGAAATATTTGGTTTTCACCTTTCCTTGGCGAAGAGTGTTGAGTGCCTGTTCAATAGAAGAGTAGCCTGGAGTTGGACAGTCAGGATCACCCTCAGCATCACTAACGAAGAAATCGATGGTTTCAGGAGTAATTTCAGCATCAAGTGTCCCAAATGGTGCAGAACTGGATTCATCAAAAGCATCTAACAAAGATCCATTTTCACTTCCCTTGAAAGAACTTTCATTAAACAAATTTCCACTACTCACCCTAATAGCCCAAAATGTTGGACTAAAAATCTTGTTTTTGTATAACCCAATTCCAGTAGTATTGGTGGGAGCTGCAAAAAGTCCATGAAAACTGAAACGAAGCATAATAAGAATGTTTTCAATGTTAATTATGTCAAACCATAAAGAAAAACAAGAAAAGTTTGAGTTTTTTTTTTTGTGTTGTATAAAAATACTTATACCATGAATTAATGGAGATACGAGGAGGAGTAGTGTGGAGAGTGAACAAAGCACAGTCCATGGAAATGAAATGTTTGTTTCTGCTTTTTATTTGTTTTTTTTCTTCTTTTCAGATATCAAGAAATTTCTCTGGTAGTTAGTTTCTCCAATCTCAACAGGGTATGCATGCAGAGAACAAAGGCCCACCTCAAGTTTTGGATTGCGTTTCTTTTCAGAGCCCTTCTCTGTCTCCATGTTTTTATCTTATCGAAAAAAAGAATATTAATAATGAAAAATAATCGACCACAGTGGGAGTCGAACCCACGACCTTTTGATCCGAAGTCAAACGCGCTAATCCACTGCGCTATGCGGTCGGTTGTTTATTTTTTGGAGAATAACATTTATATGGTAATAAGTTTTGAAATTTTGTCTTCCATGGTTTTCTTTTTTTTTTTTTTTTAATTCAATGGAGAAAAGACAATAATTCTTTTTTGGTTACTTTATTAAAAAAATATTCAATCATTTTCCTTAAAGGAAAAACTATTGAAAATTGTTTATATATTATTAATATTTTCACTTTCAAAAGGTAATTAATTTGATTTTTCCACTTCCGAGTTAGTGCACCAAAAAGTAATTTGAGCCTAATGATCAACGCAATGTTTAAATATAAATTATTAACAGTTAAAAATGTATCACTATAAAAGAAGATTATTGTCACGATCCATTTCCGTGGGCCAGACCGGCACTAGGACCTGGATGGGCTTAAGGCCCCCGAAACTCGTAGTAAGCCTAAATTATTTAAAACTCATATGCTATTCATAATTGTGGATTTCATATGCTATTCATAATTGTGGCACTTAACTGAAAAAGACCATTTAGATATACTAAATTCAGTTCAAGTAAATGAAGAGGATCAACCTATTTTTGATGAAAATGGTGAACCTATTCAGGATGCTGTTGCAACCTTAATACTCACTATTTCTTTGCATTTTATAGGAGATCCATCCCATATAAAGGATAAAAATGCTGAACTTTTAAGTAATTTAAAATGTAAACATTTAAGTGATTTCCAGGCTTATAAAACCACTTTTCTTACACGGTTAATGTTACGAGAAGACTCAAACCAAGCTTTTTGGAAAGAAAAATTCTTAGCTGGTTTACCTTACTTGCTAAAAATTAATTTATATGTGAATCAACCGTTAAAATTATGTATCATGCAGTTTGGCCACACCAAATGGACAATACAACAGCAATCACAATATTATCACCTTCATATAATCACATCAACGTGGCAATTAGTCAGTGGAGTCACCGAAAAAACCCGCATTGAGCCGTCCTCCATATGGCCCATCGTCCTCCCACATGGCCCATCCACTCACATGTGCACTAGGGAGCCAATCCCCCATTCTGGCTGACCGGTATAATCCTCACACTACCGGTCCTCTCATTATTTTGCCAGTCTCTCTCTCTCTTTTTTTTCTCTTTTTTTTTATATCATCAGGAGGCAACCCGGTCATCTCCTTCAAATCTAGATCATCAGGCGCGCACAACAGGAGGCCACCCTGCGGGTTGCGATCAAATCTAGATTATTAGGTGCGCCCAATAAAGAAGCCAACCTGTGATTTCAGTATAATCCTTCTTTTTTTTTTTATACCAACAGGAGGCAACCCGGTCGTCTCCATCAAATCTAGATCATCAGGCTCACACAACAGGTGGCCACCCTGCGGGCTGCGAAATCAAGCACATAGATTATCAGGTCCGCCCAAGAGACCAACCGTTTGGTTTTCCATTATCATACAGATCAGAAACAGTAGGTACACAACGGGGCGCCGATGGTCCCATTTACCCGGCCTAACAGAAATTAGAATCAGGATCCCATATAACAGTAACAGTCTCACAAACCATGGTTGACCCACTTCATCCCAAAAATTCCAGCACAACAAGGCACAGCAATATACATCAACAGATAATCAAGCCAATTTCGTGAAGATCAGACGAAGAAAATAGTGCAGCCGACGAGGTGATGGGGCAGATTCAAACAAAAATAATGGCATTGATAACATTTAGCCGTGAATGCATGAATGCAAGGCGGATGATTACTAGTATACTAACACTACTCACAGTTTGCGTGTTATTTCGCGTCTAAAAAGACTGCGCTTCTAGCCACATGCTTCCAGCCTTTGTCCTGCGGCAGGTTGTTTGAATTTATTATAATCCTGCTAATAAAACAAGAAAATTCTAAGTAAAGAATTTCTAATTCGGAAAATATATTTTACATTCTTATAGTTTTTGGTTACCAAGTCATTTAATCCACTTATTAAATTAAAAACTATATATAGGATGATACTAGTTATCTAACACTACTCACAGTTCTTTATTGTCCTCTAAAAGGACTGCCTTTCTAGCCACATGCTTCCAACCTTTGTCCTCGCATTTCTGAATTTTATAATCCTCTAAAATAAACAAGAAAATTCTAAGTAAGAATTCTAATTTTATTCGTACTATCTATTAGAGTTCTAAAAATAATCTAATTCCTACCGAAATTTCGGCAGTATCTCCCCTAAAAGTTGGACTATCCGCAGTATCTTCCCTAAAAGTTGGACTATCCACCTGTTAAAATATCAACAATTTATCAAACCACACAGCCGACAATCAATCAAATCAAATTTCCCATCCTCCTTCAATCTCAACATCACCGCACAGTTAAAATTATAATTTACAATAACATTATATCTAAACTACCTTAAACCATAATTTCCTTAATCCACACTTAATCTATTAATATGCATTATCAAATGTTTCCTTTAATTAAATTCAACACTGAATATACTATAAATCAATTATAACTACTCATAGTAATAAATTAAATAACTAAATTTAATAACTACAAATATAAAATTAATTCTAATTAAATAATATACTAAAATTAAATTAAACTAACCAAGATTACTAAAATTAACATTAATTAACCACAATTAATAAAATAAAATTCATACCCAAACAAAAATATTATTTTCTTGCAGGATTTTGGGATTTTACGCGTATCGGATTTGAAACTACGCGTGTGGAAGCATTGGACCACCTGAGATCGATGCAGGGAGGGCTGAGCTTGCAATGTGCGCGAACCGGTGCGGAGCAGCTGCGGCGCAACTGCAGGCGCGACAGATATGCTCCTGAGTTGCGTCGGCAGACGCGCTTGGAGCTGCAACTGAGCTGCAGCCTGTAACATCCTTCCCGCCGTTCCACCGTTAACCGAATGAACCGAGCCGAGACGCCTACAATGGTGGTTGAACTGTATGTCCTTGTCATGCTTATATCATTCTGTATTCCTAAATAAGAATATAAAAACACTCTCAATTAAACTTCAGACTTCCAATCTCCAACTAAAATCATCCTACACAACAAAACACTTTATCTATATAGGTTCATAAACTGTATAAATCCTCAGAGCATGTCATATCCAGCAATTAACTTGCATTCATGTCTATATCAATTCTTAATGACCTTAATCAAAAGCCAACTATAGTAAAATATTCATATTTCAATCATTTTCTCAAATACTTACACCACAAATAATTACATGCTTTAAATATATTTTCAATCACATAGACTCTAACCAAATGTTAATAATTATACATGCCATAAATCTTAAATACATGCCATAATTCTTAATTATACAACTCTCAATCTTACTATGACCAAATTAGTCACGTCTGCTTTGATAGTTACTCTTCAAGTCTTCAAGTAGCAACCAACGATCTTCAACCTACGCGTGATTTTTAAAAATCGACGACCACACGCTGAGTATTATTTAATTACAAAATATAAATACAATATATGAAATATCATTTAAACTTACAAAGGTTTTAATTTAGACTTCCAACAGAATCGCTTACAATGAATGGGGATAGAGAGAGAAAAGGATATTTAAGAGAGGGAGAGACGTATGGTTTATACTGATGCTTACAACTCTTTCCACTTATGCCTTCACAAGGGGAGAGGCTCCCTTAAAATAGAAAATAAAGAATCTTTACTGTGGACTTTTACTATTGATGAACAGTACCTTGTCTGCCATCGAATCTTTACTGTTGACTTTTTACTGTAGATGAACAGTGCTCTGTCTGCCATCGAATCTTGACCTTTACTGTTGAAATAGTAATCTGGCTTCTACTGTATGACTTATGCACTTTTAGTCACATCATATAAGTTACGATTAATAACATCTCATGACTGTATGGCTCTTTACAGAATCAATAATTAAACGTCATAATATAGCATTATTTACTTTTCATGAATCTTACCTGATGTTTCTTTATGCTGTATGAATTCTGCAACTTGATTAAACTCGGTGAATATTCAACAATGAAATAAAGAAACATAGGAAACATATAAAGCACATTACATATGTAGAAATAAACATGTACTTACATATTGAAATGTAAGCAGCACATATCATGATATTCATTTTACCTTGATGATCTTTCTTGCTGGATAGTAATTACTGTATGATTCATGCAATGTTATGGTCTATTTAAAATGAGTGGCTGTTTCATAGCGCACTTCCATAGGTTCAAATATGTGCGTACAACTCGCAGTAAATGATAAGAAATCTAGAATACTGCCTCATGTATACAATCTGATGCATATATGCGTGTATGAGCTATTGGCGCTATTGGCCTTATATTAAAATGCATATCCACTCAAACTGTCCATAGTATAGCCGGATGTATCTCCAGATCTGCTATTCTATGTTGCGACATAGCCTTATCTACATGGTTTCTACCTAACCTCAATGGAGCATATTAATGGTATGTCAATAGATAAAACAAATGCACAGTAACTGTGTCATAATTTGCATGCTTGTGTCATGAAATTAACTGCTTCATCATTTCATAAAATTTACTGCTTACCTGTATGCTAATAGCCTCTCCAAGCGGGCAACTTGTGTCATGTTAGTTTCACACCATTTGCATGCTTGCATTTTGTGTTTATACATGTATTCATGTTGTCTTTTTGCTTTAAAATGATTGAAGACATACAAGTTGAGAAAAGGAATACAATTGCATAGCATTCATAACTTCATACACCATAGTGTTTCACATCATTTGCAGTGCTTTGCATAGTTGGTTTGATGCATGGGTCTAATGTTGTCTTTTTTTTGGTTTTAAAATAGATTGGAGGCGATATTATGCGTAAGCAAAGGAATTACAATTGCATTGAAAATGAGTCCAAAAGACGTTGCCAGACACA